CTTAACTCCTTCGTGCCGGGCCGGCCGGCACCGCGCCCGGGGGAGCCCCGCGCCGAGCGCGCACACACCGCCCGCTCGGCCTGCGGCGGATCTGTGCGCGCACGTACGGCTTTGAGAGCTCTCAGCAGGATCCCTGCGGCCGTCGGGGTGGTCGGGATGCACCTTGAGGAGTCTGCTGCGTTTATCTTGTTTCTGGGAAATATGTTTTCTGAAACAGAGTGGTAGAAGGCTCCAGGGAATAGCATTCCTATACAACCAATGTTCTCTTCTCGCAGGTGTTCTCTTTTGGAAATCAGGATGCTAATGACAGCTCACCTCAGTCTTAGTGCCAGTCAGGGGGAGTAGTGTGACTGGGACTGAGCCAAACTGAGCTCTTCAACCCCATGTGCAATACCGAGGCATGTGATTTCTCTGATCCCTGAAGTATCTGGTGCAGTTTCTGCTACAGTCTTGAACAGAACAGAATTAACCTGAGCAATTGTTTCCATGGTGAAATGTGCTAAGATCCTATTTATGGATCAAAGTTTCCAGCCTTTTCTCAGGCAAGCTCCTGTTGATGTCAATGAGAGGTACCCTGGATACAGCCTGCGGAAATTCTTCGTGAAAGAGCATTTTTGTTCTTTGTAGCACATTAATAAGGTCTGTAAAAGTTGTCTTGTACCTAAAAGCTGATTCTTGCGTTGTGATGTTCAGCTTTAATGTACAAGGAGAACAGTGTGACTCAAGCAGTCATTGTTTATTTCCTGTCTTTCTCCTTTTGGGGGAAAATAGAAATTACCTGCTGTTCTTGTTCAGATGGTTGCTAGTATTTTAGCTGCTATGGCAATGGAGGTGAAGAGTCTCATCAGCCCCTTTTCTTTTCTATCTGTTCTCTTTTCATTTATCCAGAGTGGATATGCCAATCCATGCTCTGCACTGAGTAGACAAGCTACATGAGAGGGCAAAATCAAAAACGTGCTTCATGCCTGCAGGCAGGTGTGGAAGGCAAATCTGTAGTCTGACTCCAAATCATTGAAAAAGACTTTTCAGAGCTGCACCACATGTTGCCATACCAACACATATTCTTGTCTTAACTCTGTTAGGAAAGATTTACAGAGTTTCTGCCGGCTCAGGAGTCAGGGCAATTGCTGGTAGCCATGTAAAAGGCAGGTCAGGGGCCTGCAGGTAGTGGAGGTAGTCAAGGGGGTTACTGGGAACAGAGGAGCTGTTCGTGCCTGTCTATCAGCACTAAATTCCAGGAAATTAAGTGGTGTAGGGATGTCCAGTAGTGGTTCATACTCATCAGTACAAGACTAACTTTTAAATAAAATAAGATTCTTTTTGTTAATTTTGCTGGTGGGTCATCCCAAGTAAAATACCAAGAGCTGAGGAGCTGTTATAAGATTTTGTTCTTGCCAAATATATTATTGGGAAGAGTGGGTAGTGAGTGATACCATTTCAATTGCATTTACTGTATCAGCCTTGATTGTTGTGAAATCATGAATCTGGCTTGAAAAGGATCAGCACACTCTAATAAAAATTATTCAAGAGTACTTGTTCTGTCTGTTTCACACACAATTGCTTCATTCTGGGCAAATCAGGGGGATCAGGTGCTTCTCTGTCAAAATGAACCAAAAAAACTCATATTATGATGTAACTTTAGAAATTGGAAAAATTCCTCCTATAAATTATATTTTATCATTGGACTGCCTAAAGGCCTGTTAAGAGTGCATTTATGATAGGTACAGTGAAACAAAAGGTAATAGCTAGCCTGTAGTCTACAAACACCCTATAAAGTTGTGTCCGGTGGGAAGGATACCATACAAGCTGTGTGACTGCTGGAAGGGCAGGAAGAGTTGTGCTAATTCTCTGTGTTTGTTTCTGATAGAGCTAGGAGAGGGGTTATATGTGAGTTAGCTGAAGTGGTTGCTTTTTGTCAGTGATAGACCTTGCCATGGAATCACAGAACGTGTTGAGTTGGAAGGGACCCACAAGGATTATCAAGACCAAGTCCTGGCCCTGCAAAGGACCATCTCCAAAAGTCACACCATGAGCCCGAGAGGATTGTCCAAATGCTTCTTGAACTCTGTCAGGCTTGGGGCTCTGACAACTTCCCTGAGCCAGTCAAATGCTGAGAAGGAAGATGAGCCTTCCTCCTGGTATGCACAGTGACCCAGTTCCAGCCTTCATCTTTAACAGACCCTTGACTAACAGTCCTTTGACTAATTACCCTGTAGGGTTCTCAGTCCACCTGCTTCTCCACTACACTGGAGGTTCAAGACCTCCAAAAATCTTGAGACTGTAGTGTCTCTGAAAAGAATCAATCTATCTCCCACTCGTTTGCTCAAATACTTAGTAGCCTGTCCATTTCTTGTAGTTCCTTCACCTGGTGGCACAGCTCCTCACTCACAGCACACCTTCTACAAAAGAACTGTTCGTCATCCCCAGCCTCACAAAGAGGCATCAGGTGCTCCTGGAAACCTGTGACCTGGACAGCTGCCACATCTACTGTCAGTGTGCTCTGGCATGGCTGGCTCAGTGACTGGCAGCTACGTGATTCTAGTCAGAGAGAAGGCTCACCCATGCCTGCGTCCCAGCGTGGGGCAGGTCTGTCTCGCACTGCTCTAAAGGTGACATTGATAAGTAAGTATGGACATGTCTAGGGTGCATTTCTCACCTTCTCTCTGGGCTTTCATGTAGGTTCTCACTTGAGACTCAGCTACAACAACCGCTTTCTCAAGAATAAGTAACCAAAGTACAGATAAGGCACCGCTTCACCATTTCAGCCTTGGTGTGCTGCCAGCAATGGATTCCTTGCTGCCAATAGGATTGGCAATAAATTTGCTAACAAATTGATACTAAATTAAACTCATGTCACCAAGTCTAGTCTGTTTTGCCCAAGACAGTAACTAGTGAGTGATATCTCTCTATTCTTTTCTTGACCCATGAGCCTTTTGTTATATTTTCTGTCCCCTCTCAAGCTGAGGAGAGCAGTGATGGAGAGGCTTTGGTAGACACCTGGGGTTTGTCTAGGGGCAGTCCACCGCAATGACTCTCATCCACACGATCTCCTAAAGGAAAATGTGTCAGTGGTAATTAATTCAGAAACACCTCCTGTCCATTTCAGTCGTGATAGTCTTACAAGAAAGTGTGGTGATGTGTGACTTATGAATGCATCTATGTGTTGGATAGTCATATGAACAGGATCTGCATTATTCCTGACAGCTTTTCTACCCACCTTCAAGCAAACTCAGAGAGGTGTCATGGAACATTTAGCATAAAGCATAAAATTGTTTGTTTATGCTTTGCTTCAGCAAAACAAATCAAGTTCATAAAAGCATTTAAAGGAGCCAGAGAGCTAAAAGATGGAATTCATAGATGTGGATTATAGGCCTCTTCTGACTCACCTAGAGTGAGTTTTTAGGAGTGATTTATTCTTCCGTCAACAAAAAGAAAACTTAGGAATCAATGGGTGCCCCTGGAGAGTGCAAGATGATTTTTTAGAGCTCAGTTGGACCCAAGTATTTGGCCCCCTAAAGAAGCACTGTTGGTAAAACTTCTTTAGGTGAATAAAGCACCTTTCTTTGTGCTTGTCAGGCAGACAAAAGATGCCACAGTTGTTAGAAACATGATTTGAAATTATTTTCCAATACAATCTGGGAAAGTTACACTGCATTAAATGTGACTGCAGGTCATTGTCTCTTTGTCCAGGTGCTGTCTTCCCTCTGCAGCAAAGTCTGCCTTTGCTCCCAGGCTTTGGTAAGTGCTGGACACAAGCAATGACTGTGGTTTCACTGCTTCCATGGCAACAGAAAGGATACTGCAGAAGCAGGGACCAGTGTTACATCACTGAATAAACCAACTTGAAAAAGCAGTATGAAATATTATGACAAAGATTTAGAGGAGCTGGTGAGTCTATGGCTATGCAGATTACCTAGTCACAGAGTGGTTCTGGGGGTTTCTAGCAAGCAGAAGTTTGGCCAGAGGCTGCAGCAGCAGCTGCAGTTGCAGTTACCATTGCTTAGTAGCCTAAGGAAACCTGCTTTCTTCTGGTCACCTCATAACTTCCCCCCAGAAAGGCCACTTCTGGGGCTGTGTGCATGGATCAGGGTTAAATCATATTATATAGATTATTTCTTTTGTTTGTTTGGTTTTCCCACTGAATGCAGAATAGATGATGTGAACTCAGCATATTAAAACAGTAATCCTCTCATGAGAAAGGGTGGCATATGGGAGCTGGGCTTTGCTGTGTGGAACTGACAGATGTTTTTTGTTCTGCTTTGCTTGCCATATCAGAATTCAAAAATGCAGCAATGTGTGTTTGTATATATATATTTTTCTTTCCTCTACCCCGCCCCACTCCCCCAGTCCCTCAAGAAAATCTGTTTGGGGGAATTTCTTGTGTGTATTGAATTCACATGTTATTCCATAGGTAAATCTGGGCTGAGCAAGTGAGGGGATGTTGCTTAGTTAAGTCATTCATTTCAAAGACTGTTTTGGTCATAAGATAGATACCTTTTTATGGATATTTTATGAACAGGCTTTCTAATCATTTGTGCAACCACCTCAGTCTAGTCTGTTGTTTGGAGGAAAAAAACTTCTGGCTCCCAGGACAAAGCTCGTGTCAGACAACATGGCAGCATCTTTTCCAGCAGGCAAACAAGGTACCTTACATACGAACGTGATAAATGCAATGAAAGGGAAAAATTACAGCTGAATTGTATCAAGGGCATTCCCTTAATTATCAGCACTTGCATTAGCTTTCTTCAAGTGCAGGACTTTTTCCTTGCTTTTTCATGTTAGGGAAATATCTTCCTCTTTGACCCATCCGTAGATCCCGTGTTGGCAGCACACAGCACTCTTGGATAGATGGCATGTGACAGCACTGGGAGATTCATAGTGGAACTAGTTCAAAACATACAAAAGAGATGCACAGTGCAGATGGGAGAGTTAAATTCTGCTTTGAAGTTGTAATTACAACAAGCAATTGTTTCTCTGCTATGCCTAATAATCTCCTGTTGTTGTAAAGCTCTGTCTTCTAATGTCTTTTCCTTGGCTGCTAGATATAGGTCACAGCTTTAAAGTAGCAGATGACTCTGAATGATTCCTGGCTTTCCTGCTGCCATTTACACTGTAGTGTTTGGTTTGAAAAATGAATTTTGCATATTTTTCATGACTCTTGCTAGGTTCATTTTTCTGTGAATTTATATTCACGTTTTATAATGTTTATAATTTATATATAAATTATATTTTTAAAATATTATTTATGAACACATCCACATAGTATTTTTCAGACTTACATGCCCATATTTTCTGGCCTTAGGCAAGTTATAGGTTGCAAGCCATGTGGCTGCAGAAGCATAATGTTGGACTGTGGTTTGTATGGGCTGCTTTCCCTTAAGTCAGATTTAGTCTGGGTGATTATGTGGCTTTTTAGTGAAGCTGCCTTGTGGCTGGCTGATGTTGACTCTGTGTTCACTTGGCCTGTGCCCAGTGTGTGTTTATTTCTGTGCTGATAATGGTAGACTCTTGATTACCTGCGCACATCTGTATTTAAGATCTTAGTTACAGGCATGAAGGCATGAAAATGTCAGAATGTGAAATTCCCAGCCCATTTCTGGAATATCAATGCCTCTTTAAAGCAACTTTGTGTAGATATCAACAAAAAATGAATCTGGATTATTGTGCAATGACCTGTCACAAATATTTTGCTTGAATCTGGGCAGGTTACAGCCAGCTAATTAGATATCAGCCATTTGGTGCATGAGCTCAGGCAGAGAGAGTTTGAGTAAGAAACTACAGTCATGCAATTTAGACAAAACCCATTTGTCTAAATGGAAATGCTGGAATTGCAGCAGAAATTCTCTTTGCCCTGCAGTCTATATGAAATACCATGTCCAAAAAGAACTGGTATACTTGGCTGACATTTTCAGGACTGCAATAGACTGTTGATATTTATTAGTCCATCCCTTTCTAACCACTGCACATACTTGCCTCTCAACACAGTTTTGCCATATCCAAGATCCTGATGTCACGTTTTTCAGCTTAAATAAACTCCTTCTCAAAATGGAGAATTTTTATTAAAAATGCATGTTTCAAATTCCTTGAGAAAGGCAAACTGCATGCATGACTTTGAAAAGGAAATTTAGTAAGGGAATTGTAACAACACAAGATAGTCTTATTCATAGGGGGTAGCAGAAAAATATCTTAAATACTAAAACTTGTATTTTTCAGAATGTTCTTAAATGCTCCAAATTCAAAAGAGACAAAAATCTTCTATTTTTATAATATTGAAGTGTGGTATTAACTTCCATATGAGCACATCTATTATTTTGGAAGTCTGTAATCATAGTGCCGTTTGTTGTCAAGGACACAAATGACGTAGACTCACAACTGAAGAAAAGTCCTGTCTCACACTATTAAATATTAATTTTCACTGTTAGTTAGTAAAACCAAGGCATAAAAACCTACCCAATGCGTACATATGTACATAAATATGGGGTTTTGTATTTATTAGGTCTTAAAGCAATGTGACAATTGAGTGAAATCACATCAGCTAAAAATGACTGCAATTCCACAATAGCACTCAATATATATCAGGACTAACATTTATATTGTATAGCGCCAGAAAACTCTGACTGAACTAACAGAAAGGAGAAAACCATGAAATACTTATTTTATTATTTGTATAACATTTTCCTTGAAAAAAATCAATATCATCAGGCAACAGAAAAACTCATTGTCAGTAGAAGTTGAGTAAATGCAGAAATGGCACGGTACAAGAATCAGTCTATCATCTTGTTAGAATAAAAGTGAATAAAATCTGATCTATGAATAAGTTGAATAGAAATACATGGATTATAAAAAATAGTTGAATATTCCCAGAGACAGTGTTCTTTATAAAATTAACACTTGGGCAAAAATATAAGAGATTATACAATAATTTTGTACCTTGGTTCTGTAATGTGAGAGTGAAGAGCTGTCAGGTGGCTTTCAGCCCCTTTGTGATCATGCTTAGAAGACTATTAAAATCAACCATTACTGAATTAAATGTGGAAAAGTCTATTAAGAATGGAAATGTAGATGTGAACAGTCAACAGGTCTCACCATAGAATTATCTTGCTAAAGTTCAGAGTGCAAAGCCTGAACAGAGTTGTAATGACAACTGTAAAAATAATAAGATATCAATAATGTAAAGGGGTAATTCTTCTGGTGCAGTTCTTCATCTCTCCTGGCTAGAATATCTTAAACACTGTCAAGCCATTAAGAGTTCTCACTGAGTTTCAAGAATTGTAACTATTAGGTGTAACTTGCAGAAAAAAATGAAGTTATTTGGAAGATATAAGATGATTTTGCAACAGGGCAAGCAGAAGTGGAGACTGTGTATGCTTGAGCTGTGTGCAGGTCATGGCATAGTGTGGCAGTAAGTTTTTGAAAAACTAGACATATCTGATGGCTTAATGAGTGCCTTTAGCTTCAGGTTCTTCCAGTCAGCACCTGTCTTCCTCTGTGTGGTTGCTCCTGAATTTGACACATTCTATAGAGAAAATGATATAAAATAATGGGAAATTAGGGCTCAAAGTGTTACCTAAGATAAACTGAAGTTTATCTTAGCTCAAGTGCACTTCGACTTTGTTGCCTGCACAACATTCCATGGAAGCATTCAGAAAGACCAAATATTACAGTAAGCATAACTCCTGCAGACTCTGCTTTGTAGACTGGGTGGTGGAAAATTCTCCTTCTGGCTTTGTAATTCTGCACTGTGTCCCCCAGCCTAGTGAAATGCCTCCAAAGGGTGATCTGACATCTTTGTGGCTTCTGTAATATCAGTGTAAGAAACCCCCAAATGAGGGGCTAAAGCTTTGCTCATATAACTTAGGAGGAATTAGTTTTTGTCATTGATTTTATAGATACAGTAGAGAGTAGAAGCTGTGTAGCTCAAATTCAGCAAAATTCAGCTGCCATTTCCAGGGAGTTCCGCCCTGAGGGGACGCTTTATGAATTAGGTGGTGAGATCTACAAAAGGGGAAAAGTTCCTTTTGAATGCTGTGGGAATAAATGGCTTTTATGGACAGACAAACAGCTGTCAGTTAACTGAGGTGCAAGGAGTTGTGCATTGCCTGAGGCAACAGATCATTGTAGGTTAAGGGAGCCCTTAGCGATTTGCTTTAGTAAAACTGTGTTGAGCTAAAACAACTTCAAGAACAACTAACTTCATCCAAACACTTGCAAATCCATGAAAAATAAGGCATTCCTTCTCGGAGATATTATCTTAAAAGGCCCAGAGCATTTTTACATACTAGGATTTCAAATGGCAGCTTAATTAGAGACCAGAAATTCATTAAAATCTGTTCTCCCGTTGTGGACAAAGGGACATCACTCTGACCAGTTTTCAGCAGTACCCCTGAGTTGCACTGAAACATAATTATTGATAGCTTTAATCTAACTCAAAATAAAAAGCAAACTGATGAATTTTCAAAGCAAAACCTTACAAAAATGTTATTAATTCCAGATTAACTCACACACACAATAGTGTAGCTTTATTCATCTTTCCCAAGAGCTAATTTATGTTGATTGAAGGATTTATTTGTTTGGAGTTTAAATGACTTTGGTAACAGAATATCAATATAAGTACTTATTTGGTAGAATGTAATTTTCATGTGTTTTTCATTACTACTGTTTGCCTTCCTGCTCCAGTAGAATGCTTTCTGGATACGAATTCTAGTGATATATAGGGAACTGTGACCAGTGACAAATTATATATCTAAATCCAAGGAAAATAAATGAAGGAGGTATTATTTTCGTAACTGCTTAATACTTGGTTTTACTGTTCTTTGAATGGGCTCATCTGTCTCTCTAATGGCAATAATTTGTTTCAACTAATCTTTCTACATTTTTACTGC